AGAATCAATATGGCACAGAGAAACTATTTTAATTGGAGAGCTGAGATTCTTGGTCTTGCAGGTCCTCCCTGGCAGCCTCACTGTCTGAGAGGAAAACAAACACCCTGCCACCCTCCTGCTGGGAAGTGTGTCCCCATTGGGGTCTTCTGCAATAAAAGACAAACTGGGTCACCTCTGCCCAGCCTTCTTTTGAGGATCCCATGGCAGAGTATTTGGTTTGATTACTTGTTCTCTGCTAAGCCAGATTCAGTGGTCAAACAGCAACCAGTGCCCCTCAGTTCAGCTCCAGGCACGCATCTGCCTGTCAGAGACCCTGCAACCATACTCCAGTTGCTGTCTTCTGCCATTTGTTGCTGGCTAGGGAAGAAGCCTTGCACATCTCAGGTCAGAATTTGAACTATTGCTATGAGCAATGAGGGTCTAAGAAATAAATAATTTAAAAAATCATTGCCCTTATTTGAACAATCTTAACTTTGCATTCAGTGTTGCCTGGAAAAAAAAAGGCACAGCTGGCTAGAAACTGCATTTCCCACCCAAAACGTGTCAGATGTAAAACATGTCTGAATTCAAAATAACAGAAAGTCTTTTCAGGTTCTTTGGAATTTCAGGCTACCCTGGGACCATTTTCCCTGATGTGAGGCATTTCATCCTAAAAATCCTTCAAGGTAACCTGAGACAACTGATAGCCTATAGGTAATTTTAGAGGCTGTCATTACAGTTTCATCTCCTAAACCCTATGTCCTGAGGTGTTTGGTGTCAGAGATGACCTGAGTGAGAGACAATCCTTCTGATGGGAGTCTTTGGGTCTTCTTTTGTCTTTCTAGGAAGAATAATTGCTCTGACTATAACTTCCCACTGCCAGCTTTGAAGTGGGAAGCAGACACCCACAGTCACCCTCCAACATTTAAAAACATTGCCACTTTTTAAAAGCCATTAAAACTTGCCCACCTCCCAGCAAAAACATGGACCTGCACTGCAATGTTTCCTATTACTCATCCTCAGTAACTTGGACAAACATCACTTCAATAAAAAGGATGGCTTTGTCCTGACCTTGTTTACAAACAGTACAGATTAATTTTAAAAAATGCTTAAAAGCTATTGAATTATTTTGCATAAGGGCAACTTGATTTGTTACCATGTTACACAAAAAAATCCCTGCTCGTAGTGAGCACAAAATCCAGTCCCATCTGCCTGGTTCTGGTTGCTGTAGTAATAAAGCCACACAGGTATTAAAGGCTTTTCTGCAGTGGATGTGCCTGTTGCAAGGCTCATATTTGGGATTTCCTTTTCTTTTATTGTGCCAACAACTTCTTTACATTTTTAAGAGCATATAACTACTGCATATTTTTTCCCCAAACATTTTAACTTCATTTATTTAAAAATATCTAAGCCTTTTAACTGACTTCATAAAATCTAGTACACAAAACACAGCAGCATAGGAGGTTTCTTGGCATCACTGAATGAGTACCAGGAGAGGAAAGCTACACACCAGTGAATTCCTGAGCTTGTTTCTGTAAGAGGAACAAAAACACCCATAAAGAACACAAATACCTCCTGAGCTGGATCCTATTAAGTTATTACTAATCTCTGAATGAGAGATAATTAGTTTAATCAGAAACTTCCAGATCATTTGGTTATTCTTAGTAAAACAGTGATTTGCCTGTTTTTATTTTTGTACTGGGGGACACAATATAATCAATGGAACTGTGGTTCAACAGTCAATACCTTGGCTAGTGAAGGAAATAGCTTTGACTTGCAGTTGTCTTAAATCCCACTGCTAATAAGATCTGCAAATGAACATCAGACAGATCAGCAGTGGTATGTTTGGCTATAAACATTTACAGTAGGAATGTGGATGCACAGTACACACAGGCAAAACCCCTGAATCACTGCTAAAACAACTATTCTTTCCATCCACTCATTGCAGGTAGCTTTTCACAGGCTTAATTTCTGCCAAAGGTGACTTTCCCAGAGACTGGAACCAGACCCCTGTACTCCACCTGCTCTATTCCTACCCTACAGCTCTGCCTACAATTTCAAAACAGATCAACACAACAGCAAGGCAAACTTCTGGAAGTTTACACTTCCAATAGAAACCATCTTCACCAGGAACACCCAAGTCACAGCAGTCTGTAAACCACCCAGCTTGAATGCAGAGTATCCCCTTGCCTGTGCTGGCTCTGGAGCAGACAGGATGGGCCTGGGGATTCACTAGTCCAGCCCCAGCACAGGCCAGGCTGGCATGGGGGGCAGGAGCACATCCTTGGGACCTCACTGAGAAAGGGACACTAAACAGGGTTATATTCACATCTGGCAGAAAAGGATGATTTTAAACCCCACGGGTTTCCCAGTCGTGCCCTGAGTGGAACTCTTGATGAAAATTCAGTGGCAGGAATACAGGGGGCTGGTGCTGTGCAGCCCTGCACTGGCAAACACAGGCACTTCTGTCCCAGGGTGGAATTTTGCCAGCACAGCTCCTTGTGTCTGCACAGCACTAGGGCCAGGCAGACAGCCCAGACATTCCCACCTACACAAACATCCTCACTAGGTGTGCAGGAATTCAAAACATTGCCTACGAATCTCCAAGTTTCTTCAATTTTTGCTCCACTTTTACCTATTTTAATTAATATTGCACACTGCAATACAAAAAACCCCAGTGTGGTAGCTCCTGTGGAGGTACATCACCCTAGCCCCCTCCAGCTCTGGCTACGGGCAGTGTGGCCTCATCAGGTGCTGGCAAAGCTTGCTTATCTCTGGAGGATTCTGATGTGAACAATTTTACATGCAATAGTGTTGGAACTACTGTATCACAAGGAAAATCTAAATGTGTGGAATCAGAATGTTACTTGGATGTTTTATTTATGCTAATTTTAAGTTTAAAGTACAAACTTCCAATCAAACTGGTAAGAAAACATTCAAGCTTCCCAGAGGATATTCCAAGAAACTCACAGAACGTGTCAGGATGATAATCCAAGACTCTTTTATGAAGATTAAAGTACTTTTGTGGACAAGTGAGATGCTGAGATGTTGTTTACCTTGATGTTGCAAAGGCTCCACACACAGTCTCATAGCTAAACTCCTCAGATATGGCTGGAATACGTGGGCTGTAAGGGTGGGTGGACCAGTGGCTGGACCACCATGCCTGAAGTGCTCTGGGGGCTGGCACGAAGCCCACCCAGCAGCCACCTGCTAGGAATGTTCTCACAGAGGTTTTTGGTGTTTCACATTGCTGTTACTGACCCTGACTGCAGCACAGAGAGCTCCTTCAGTCAGTTTGTAGATGGCAGCAGGTGAGGGGAGGCAGGGGACAAGCATGAGGGCAGGGCTGCTGCCCAGAGGGTCCTCAGCAGGGTGACAAAACCTCAGGATGGAAAAATGAGACAGCAGTGTGCCCTTGTGGCAACAAAGCCGATTGCACCCGGGCTCCATGAGCCAGGCAGCAGCCAGCAGGGCAGGGGAAGAGATGATTCCGTGGGATACATCTGGAGTGCTTAGTCTTGCTGTGGGTCCCCAGTACAGAAATACCTTGGACTGGATCCAATCCACTGGGGGCAACCAAAACTCTCCCAGGGGTGGAGCACTCTGGTGTAGAGGGGAAGGCCAAGGGAACCCTGATCAGTCTTAAGAAGAGAGGCATCTTATTAGCACCTTATCTAATGTAAGAGCAGAGGGAAGGGCCAGGCTGGCACCTGCTTTGGCAGAGTTTGGGGGAGAAGGCTGAAGGCCCACTTGGTGACTAACAAATCTGCTCTGTAGATTATGTTAAGGCGCCAGAGGTTGGTTTAGCATCTACAGCTTTGAAGGTGCTTGGAAACCTGAACAGATTTCTGGTATCAACACTTTCACAAAAGGAATTTAAGTTACAAATGCTTCAAGTGCCTGATTTGGGAGGGCAGTCCTCAGCTAGATCATCCAATCTAAATCTTTTAATCATTTCTTTGCCTCTTGACTTCCTTCAGCTCTCTGTAGCACAACTCTCCCCAAAGTCCCCTCTCTCTGGTAGGATGTTCTTGACCCCAGCTTGGGAACATAGACTCTCAAGGAAGTCCAGAATTGTTCTGTGAGGAAGTGGAGAAGCTTATCTTAGCTCTGAAAGTCTATTTACAACCTCTCACTAATACACTTTACTAGCAAGAAGTACAGCTACAATGTCTCTATTCTCCTCCTTAATTAGTCTAGTTATTCAGGAAACTCTGGCAGCTTAGCAACTGATTCTGATGACCTAGAAAACTTCAACACACTAAAAAGCAATGTGTGTGGAACACATAAGAGCTAAACTGGAGGAAGAAACAGTGTGGGGAAGAACTGGAATCTTCAGATCCTGCCAACACATCTACTTCTACACATTTTCTTCTGTGTGCCTTTCATTATAACAGCATATCTGCTATCCATAACTGTTAGCAAACACAACTCTCACCATTCCAAGGTTTTCACTCATGTTTGTTTGACTACCCTCCTCTTATCCTTCAATTTCTAGGTGCAAGGAGGTTTTTAAAATCATAGGTTTCACAGAAAACCAAACAAAAAGCCTCAAAACACAACCACCTGAACACATGCAATACATTCCTGAATCATTTTTTGGGATGAACTTAATCTACATATAAAAAATTATTTCCAATTCCTATTACACTCTGGAATAGTTCTGATATCACTCTTGGTGGCTTTGCTCTGTGACACAGTTTCTGTATTTAATGTCTTCTTGTAAAAAACTGATATTTGTATCCATTAAAACAAGAATGATTTATGGGTAGGTTGGTTTTTGTTTCCAGTTTAGGGAAATACTGTCCTTAAACAACTTCTGTGGAGAAGATGAAGAATTACAGAGTACCAGTGAGAGGCATTTTGGAACAAAATTAAATATATATATAACCCATTTCATGATGCCTGACTCAGCCCCACACAAACCCTTCCCCACTTCTTGTTTCAGCTGACAGAACCAGAGCATTCATTTTTAAATGCTCTGAGTGTGCCCTAGACAGGTGTGCATGCTCATCCCTTACCTGCTCATGCCTCATCAGTTCTATCATTTCCATAACGCTGATAAAATGGTAGCAACGATCTGAGTGACCAATCAGAGAGGTGGGGAAAGGGCGACTCTGCCAAATGCTCCACTCAGACAAGGAAAGTTCACAAACTGCCTCCTCTTCATGCTCCTGCAGTTTGGAATCAAGATGGGCAAGGAGATTTTCATCAGGAAATTGCTTAGTAAAACTAACATCCACTTCTTTGTCAGGAACATAAATACTCTGAATGTAGAAAAGTATCTAAACATTCTCACAATGGTTTAAATAAAAACAATTCCATGCTTTGTGTTGCTGTGAACAAGGAAGAAAAGTTGTTTTAAGTGGTGAAATGACACAAAAGCTCCACATTTTTTCTCTGAATCAGAAAAGAGCTTGTAAAACTTGAGACTTTCTTTCAGTAACACTTTTTTAGTCATACAAATGAAGGCATGAAAAGGCATGGATACAATATCATCCTGCATGGAGTATTTAGAAACAGAACTTAATGGATACTGAGAGACTTTTACATGGATTTTTAATTTTCAGACCTAGCCTTAAAGACCCATTTGCAACATTAATTCCTAAATTCTTAACCTCAAAAGCACGTGTATCATTTTCAAAATAGCATTTTTAATATAGATCTCCTTCAAGTGAATAGCTGACTTCATGATTTCAGGTATCCTTTAGGCCTCATGTCACAGGAAATCCTACATTTAGGCAAAACTCACTGGTATTTCTTCCAGGTCTTCTAAGGTTTCAAACCGACTTCGAGGCAGTATTGGTGCCTTTGCTCCATCACTTTCCTTAATCCTGTACAGCCTGTCCCATATTTCAAATTCCTCAGGAGACAGACACCAGCTCTCATGACAGTGTGTTTGCTTTTGGCCTGTGGGGCGAAAAACAACAGCAGGAAAATGTTGAACTATTTTAAGCAAAAGGATATACAAAATAAAATGAACTTTGTATAACACCAGTCTAAGGAAAAATACCTCCTCTGTGCCATCAGCACAACCAAATACAGAGAATCCGAGGTCAGGAACATGTATCAGAACAGTGTGTTTTGTGTTACATTTATGGGTAAATCTATCTATTAAACAAAAACAAGAAGGCATCATAGAAACAAAGATGTAGACAGGCAGATAGAGAGAGCTAAATGTATATAAATACCTGCAGGCCCTTAAGACTGGGAAACCATATGGCTCCAGTTTCTAAAGGTGTCTCAGAGATCTTGAGGAATAAACTACAAATAAGTAAAAGCTTGCTGGTTTTCTTTTTCCCTCTTTTTAACTTTCTCTTTTTTTTTTTTTAATGTTATTCTTTAAATACTGGAAAGCAACATTAACTTTTTATGACAAAAATAGTAATTTTTTAAAATCAGTCTCCTCTATTAAAGACATAGAGATAAGAGGACAGAAACAAAAGTACTATGTACATTCCCCAGGAGCAGGGAAAGAAATAAAGAGGCTTGTGAGTTTTATTTTGATTCAGAACTGCAAGTGGGAAGCAGAGGACAGCTGTGAACACCACTGCTGGTTAAGAACAAAGTGCTCACATGGCAGCTGAGTGAAGACAAGGCCCTGGTGCTGCTTGGCTCTGAGTGAGCACACTCCAGTGACAGAGGAAAGGAGTCGCTTTTGGCAGGCTGGCAGCTGGCCTTGGTCCTGCTGCTGCCCAGTCAGTGCCACAGCCCTCAGAACAGCCCTCATGAGAATGGCAAAGGAACACCCAAGGAATGACTGCTAGGAGTGTGTTAGGGTATGCTGGCTTTCATCCAGGATGTAGGAAGGGTGGGAAAAAATTAAGTTAATTTGACAATCACTCTGCAGACAGGATTTGGGATGAATCTGCAGCCAAAACCCAATTCAGAATCAATGCCACAGAAGTATCAGCCTGTATCTCTCAGTCCTCTCAAACTACAACTGCCAGAGACTGTATCCCCACAGGACAGTGTGACAATGTCTATTAGCGACCCAGAAACAGAGACCTGAAGCTTCAGAGTACCAAGTTCAAGTCAGAAAAAGTCAAAGGCCATCATTTAAAAAAAACATAGAAGATCAATACTGCTACTAAAATACTTTTGTCTCAAGCCTAGGAAATGTCCCATTCCTTTAGAGCCAACACACAGCTCAAGGACCTAGTAGGGGAAGAAAAGAAAGAGATAGGACAAAGCTGGTACACTGCCCGGGTCTTGTCAGGACAAGAAACCTCAATTTGAGGAACAGAAGCATATGAGCACAAATATATCCTTGATTTTTTATTTTTTTTTTCCCCTTCCAAAGAAAAGAAACACTGAAAACAGCTGTTCTGTGTGGCATTGCCATAGCTTCCTGACCACCCCTCGGGACAGCAATGTGCATTATTATTATGCGTGTTTCATTCAAATAGGAGATTAACTCAGAAAATACATCAGCCATCCAAAGGCATTGCCACAATTACATTAAAAGGGAACTGGAAAGGCACCAGTAATCCAAAGCCCTAAAGACCGAAAAAGGCACTGCTGT